AGCACTTCCGGGCGAATTTTAGTTGCAATCTAATTTTGAACACCCCTGATACGGTGTTTCAGAAAAAAATTGTCAACATTTATACAAGACTTTTGACTCCCACTTGCACCAATTTTGATCAAAATACTCTGTAACGATTACGTAACACTCCAACTAAGCAAATTTTTCCCAGATCAGAGACAAATTGCAATGAAACAAGGTTGATTAGAAACACAAGACTAGGACAGACATGTTAACCACCGAATATGATTTGAAACAAAAGATTCAGTATCACACCCTTAAAGGGAACTCTTACACTATGGTAATCGAAGACGCAATTACATATTGAGCCGCCGCGAACCCAGTATCACGTTGTATTGCTTATTGTGAATTCACAACCTTCTACAGAAAATGGATATCAAATTTTGAACTACCTGAAATACTAGTCATAGACATTACCACTGAATATATAAATAAAAAAATCTTATCCTTATGCCTTTTATACAATTTGAAACACAAAATACAAACTTCACAGGCTTCATAGAAAAACGGACTTTGCCGCGAATCGCAAAATACAAGAATATTTATCATGTATTATCAACGGAAACAAGAAGAACTACACCGGATAGTCAACGCACATTAAATTTTTCCACCAGCATTTAATTTACAAATAACTAAAATCTGTGGCTTAAAATTTTACGAGATGGCCTTCAACCAAAAGTAAGGTCAACAAATAATGTTTAGAGCTAATGCTCCGAAAAAGTAGAAGGACACTGCAAACCATCAAAAGCTTCAGTATGTTCCAGTCTTCCACCACATATCCACGAGGGCAATCATTTTCATCATCTGCCAACTAAAAAAAAGCTTCACGTTTAAATGCTGAATGGTTTTTAATTAAAGATACAATACACGACGATAGATAACCAAAAGTAACAAACAAAATGTTACAAAAAAATTTCAATCACAAAAAAATTCGCGTTTTACCCCAATTTCAGATTGAAAAAATGACAAGTTTGAATATTATCAATTCTTTTAAATTTTAAACAAATATCTAAGGATTTACAAAAAAATAGAAAAGACCCGACTCAAATTTCGAAAAAGTAAGTGATGTCAGCTACAAATTAATTGACCAAAGTTTAGAAAAGAAATAACAAAAAAGATTTCAACCCGTCAAAAAGACAAAAATGATTACAACGTGAATCTTCAAGACTACAAAATCAACCTTGAAAAAATTATCAGACAATTCTTCCATGGCCGAAAATTTGATTCAAAGTAGAATTCCACTATCCCTCTAAAATAAACAAAATTATAAATCCACCTTTAGCAACTTGACTAACTACCACACAAAAACCTCATCACTTTCCTGATGTCAAAATAATTACTTTAATTTTGAATTCTTTCACTAGGCTTGTATACATTTAAAATGTCATCTCTTTTTCTGAGAGATGACAGCGTTTCTCTCTTTCACGATCTTTCATTCGCCACCACCATTCAAATAAACGACATAGCCTTAAATTATTCTAGAACTATACCTAAGACTTAAGGACCTCCAAATGAAAAGTAAAGACAAGCTTCATTTTTGACTCAAACAAATATCATCTTAAACTTTCAACCTTGTCGAGAACCCTGAAAAAAAAACAACAAGATTAGATAAATTAATACACCCATTTTTTTCACACAAAAAAAAATTAAATTAGCCTTGAGTGAAAATTTATCAACAGCGGTTAGCCTCTGGCACAGAAATCTCACAAAAAACCCTGTTTATTTTTTAAACAAAAGTAGGAAATTGCAACACTTTATCAAAACCTCCAGACTCTCCTTGACCAATAATTCTCATTTTTCAATCCTCATGACGAAATTCAAAAAACAAATCCGACACTGACTAAAAAACACTGAGGATAAAACTCTGAAACCTTTTGATTAAATCAAATCAGTTTCCGAAAGCTCAGTTTCAAACGAGTAGTCACAACAGTGAACAATTTAAGTTCTTTCAGCATTTTTTTTTAATTTGGGAGACATACTTGGTTTTTAATTATTCAATTTCTGACTAATTTTATCTATTTTTAATTTCAATTACATCTTTTAGTGTATCTGTCCCTTTCACCAACAATTGACCCTCCTAACCAGATACGATTAACTTTAATCTTAAGCAATTTCCAACCCAAATGCTGAGAAATATTTTCAACGAAAGATGTTCTCTTACTTTTTACAACCGTTTTGATTTTAAAAGCATCATTAATTTTAGTTTTTTAAATATTTTTAAGCCGTGTATGATTTTTTTTCTAATCAGAACAAAAATAATTTTTTTATTGAGGATAATTATCCAGCACAAAAAATGAAAACCCCAAAATTAAAATCAAAACTGCTGATCAAAAACCCAACCCGACTTCCCCACCTATCAACCCAATCCAAAACCCGGCCCAACTTTCCCCCAAAATCAAAAAACCAAACCACATCATCAAACATTTCTCAAATATTGATTCGAACTTCGTAGAAAGAAAATCCCTAAACTCTTGAAGATTGACAAGCACCGGTATCAGAACTATTGTTTCTCGCATATCAGAATGCACCATTAAGCGAACCGCAGTTGGAATCAACATAACTTACCAACCCTCAATTTCTCAAGTCTGAAGACGAATAAAACATCAAAGTCGAAACCAAGCACAATGAATAACAGTTCTAGAAAAATGAATCATCCAAGACGAACTAGAAATCCCCCAACATTAAGAATTCGTTTTAATAAAATGTCTCCGTCAAAACCATCAGCTTTTTCAACACCACAATCAGAAATAATTTCAAAAAATCCTTCCCTTCAATCTTTTTCCGACGGATATTGATTCTACGCTAACCTCAGCACATTTAAGAGTTAAACCAGTCTCTTCCTCGACACCCTAACAATGTCTCCCATACAAGAAAAAAGAACTATTTTCCAAACATTGAATTAAATTTAGTTAATGACCCGCTTGACAATCCAACAGAAAAGTCATCCTAATCTCTACCAACAACCCCTTCTCTACCCTGTATAACTTCGATCAAAACTTCTACGATCAAACTTTCATCAAAACCCAATCTACTCTAATCTTTCATGTTTCTTATCAACAGTACATTCAAAACGACACATGTGAACAAACAAGAGAACGCCTTCATACAAATCATTTTCCTCATAAGAATAAAAACTTAAGCCCACATTGAGCCGCTATATTGGAACCCTCTACCGATCTCTCTCTTACACTTTAGCCCTCAAACGCCAAGTTTTGGTTAGATCCATTACTGACCTGATGTCTTATTCGTCCTCGGACTTGTGAAATTGAGGGTAGTAAACTATGTTGGTTCGTACTGCGGTTCTCTTAATGGTGCGTTTTGATGTGCTGGAATCAATAGTCTGTAGCAGTTAGTTGAGAGTGTGATTACAGAAACTTGGGGACTGATAGGTGTAAAAGGTTTTAGGGAAAAGTAGGTAGTAGGGCTTTGCTCGGAATCTAAAACTTCCAGGTGAATCGAAGGAATCTTAAAATTGCCAGGTGTGTCAGCGGCGATGCTTAAGCCCTCAAATGCCAACTTTCGCTTACATCCATCACTGACCTCATCTTCCCTCCCCTACCGTTATAACATTCCAATTTTTCCACCCTGGTTTTGACTTTTTTGTCTTATTCGTCCTCAGACTTGTGAAAATGAGGGTAGGTAACTCATGTTGGTTCGTACGGCGATTCGCTTAACGGTGCGTTTTGATGTGGGGAAATCAATAGTTTGTGAATAAAACCTTTTACACCTATCAGTCCCAATAATCTTTTCATCACCCTCTCATCTAACTCCTACACGACGCTAGCCTCATTGAACTTCACAAACGCTAACCACCAGCGCTCACAACAATTTTGCGCTAAAATTGACACCTCAAGCTCCAGAATTGACAAAAAATTTGAACCTGTTTTACGCAATTTCATCCAGCACCAACAACTTCTACACTTATCATTATACAACAACTAACCCACTCCGTTTCACCCTCAGAAACCTCTTCCATTCGTAACAACCCATACCGAGCACAACCCCTACTAATGAAATGAAAAACCCAATCAACCCTTTCATTTACTTAGTCAACCATCCCTCCACATCCCGACTTCACCGAAGCGATCATCATAGAGGACAACTCAAACTATTTTCTATACGAACCTATACCATTTATCTCACGGCGATGCTGTTTCGACAATGAGGAACCCAGAAGCCGACGAGATGTTTATGCAGACCAAACCATCATAATCATTCACTCCCTTGTTTTTGCTTTTGTTTTTTTCAAATTCAACTTAGCTTACCACTTAGAAAATCTGATGACGACGAATTTTTTCTCACAGTTTTTACCAACTGACTAAGGCAATTCCATTAAAAGACTTTACCAACCTTGCTGAGTTCTAGATAATCAATCTCTAAATCGCACGTTAGTCCACCCAAGCCGCCATATCATAATACAATCACAACCTCTTTAGATACACGGAAGGTTCACCATACAATACCGACCCTGCAGTAAACTCAAAATTACCATTTTTAAATTAAAGTAGAATAAATTTTCAATTTGCATTGCTCAAACGAAGTTTTTGATCACGTCAAGGCACTTGAAAAACACAAGGTTTATGAATCATGTTTCAGCTGCTTCTACTTTTTCTAACTAACGATCAATTTCCTCGCTCTAAGAGAAAGAGATGTTAACTGTTTCCAAGAGGGAATGTTAAAAACAAAATAATTTATCAATTTTTTAAATTCAGTTGCACTTTATACAAGACTCTCACCATCAAAACATGTTTTTCAGCTCAAATTGTACACCTTACTTTTTGAATTTCACGTAATGTAAAATATGTACTAACCTGCACGGCACTCTCCGAATCTACCATCCCGTAGCGCAAAAGCATAAAATTTGTCCCAAAACTAATGTTATCCTTACAAAAGAATTCCGACTCATGACCAACCCATACGAACAAATCCAACCTAACAAAATCAGCTTCTACAATTAAATCATGGCACCAAAATTAATCATAAACTTATTAAATTGTATCAGAACATCAGCCTCATTAAATTTTTACCAATGGGTTTTATTGTCGGCCCTGACTTCAAAAAAATGTTTAGGTTTTATTTGTTTTTTGAAACTAATTAAGTAAAACAATTCACTTACCAGTTTGCTGTGATGTTGATCATCAAATCATTTCAGTAAATGCTAATAAATGATAAAATTGTAGACATTAAAATTGAAATTAATAGTCAGAATTAAATTAGTAGCTCAATTGAAGTAAAAATGAGTAATTAAGTAAGAATAAAAGTAACCGTTTTTTGTCGATAAGTTTTGTAAACCTTTGTAATCACTCCCCGAGTTCTCACTTTTACACAAATTTCTTAAAAATCTTGATAACTTCGCATAACAATTGTAGTGAACAAATTAAATGAAATTTCCAATTTAACTTATAACAATTTTATACAGCTTTCACCCGGTCCAAGATTTCTCATAACCTAATTGGAATAAGGAATGAAGCTGAATTTACGAGTGCAGCCTTTGAACACCATTGTACTACCAAAATTTGCAGGAAAATTTGACTATACTCAAAGCAGATCAAACTGAATAAAATTTTCTTTTGAAATACATATAAGTTTTTAAGACCACATGAAATCTTAATAGACCCCAAATCAACACTAATCAAATAAAAATCGTTTTGAGAAATACCACAAATACAACTGACAAAACACCTGCTGCAAAGAAAAGGAAAGACTTTAACCAGAAAAGGCTCTACTCAAAAAAAACACCAACACTTATTTTCCAACTGGCCGTACTCTCGAATGAAGGATGTCCTGATCATGCACCAGAGCCGGTTTAACCCACCGAACTATATCACTGTTGTAACACCAACCCAATATTTTTGTTGAGAGTGACTCGTGGGTGAGCAACTCTTTAAAAAGGAACTGACTGAAAAACTTCTGTGAAAATAACAAAGAAACTTTTAACTAAAACTGAAATAACAGAGTGCAGAGATAAGCTACTGAGCATAGGCTACTGTATATTTCACTGAACATTTTACACAAACAACAGAAGGAAGATACAGTCAGCGTTTTTCCGTTAATGGAAAGGCAAATTTATTGGTTTTGCTTGCCCCAGCCACAAACCTCATTGGATATGAAGAAAAGAGCAGACATCGCAACAAAGGAATCCCTTCAAACATAGCAATGGTCAACTCGATGTCAAAACTCAAACGTACGTATCTTTGTCAAATGACGCTTTGCTCTGGCAAAACAACCTTATAACTCGCTACTCGATCATTTACGAACTAATAGTGAGAATGCACGACGTATCGCTCTGTTTCACGAAATTGATACCCTACAAGACACCACCCCGCACTCGAATACGATCTCTCAGGATTCACAACAACCCTCAAACGTCATCACATGTACTTCGCAGACTCAATCAATCTACAGTATCAAAAAGAATTTAGAAAAAACTACATGAAATAATTAACAACAGTTGTGCAAGTTGTAAAACGATTTTTTATATGTGTACTATCCATTTTTTTTAGAAATCTTCATTTGAAAAAATTTCCTTCAAAAAACATTTGATTTTTTTGAGCTACTTTACAGGAAAAGGGAAAAAACCAATTGATCAACTGAAATTCTCATTGCTGAAACAGATGTTAACTCATACTTTTTTCATAACTTTTTGGACGTTTATTTTGTAAAAAAAAATTTATCCGGTTAATTAAAAAACTATTTAGAGAAAAAATTTTGTTCTCAATCAAAAAAACTTATTTTCGAGCCACGTATTACGCTGAATTACACCTGACAATGAAAAAAACTCTCTCTATTCTCGAAAGTTTGAAATTGATCAAAAAATTGTAGGAAAAATTATCCAAGGCTCTTTTTATACCCTATCCGAATCCCAATTTTTGTCAAAAATCTCCAGCAAGGTTCGGTATTCCTCCCTTTTTTAAAAGGCTTTCATAGTTCAAAACTCCGCATGATCGAGATTGGAATGAGACTTCCAGAGATTGCTTTTGAAACATTCATCGAATTTGAGCTATTATCTCAAATTTTCATCAAAATTAGAGTATTCGACTAATTACTCAAAAATCAACAATTTGTCATAGATTACATACAAAAAAAATCAGTCGATTTGATGAAAAATACCTGCAGAGATGCTGCTTGTTGTATTTTTTTCCTCTTGTGTTACTTATATCGACGATATTTCCTATTTTCACATCAATCAACTTTTGGTCCTTCATTTTTGTAATTTCCTTTGTGTATATTTTTAGTTATTTGGAAGATTTAGGTCCTTAAGGTAATTGTTTCTCTGATTGGATACGACAACCAGAACAAAATTCAACATTTTTTGTGATTGGATACGACAATGTCTACAAAGTTCTAAAAATGGAACTTTATTTCTGATTGGACACGACTTCAATATTAATTTTTCCGTATAAGGGAGCTGAAATCTGATTGCAGACATATACAAGCCGAAAAACTAAAATCATATCTGATTGGTTAAGCCCACACATTTGAGTTGAAGGTATCCCTCACTCTTAACTCAAAGTCATTACTTTTTAATTTAACTATCGTCAACAACCACCTCTCTCAGCTCTAAAAGTTTCAATTTCAACTTAACTACTGTCAACTACATTCTCTCGCACATCTAAATCAGTAATTTTTTTACTCTAAATTTTTTACTCAACTTGTTGCTACAAATGATCTTTTCAGTGCAAAACAGCTACCTTATGAACTCTGTAGTATTTTCACCTGATCTAGTACAAATCTAGGTGCAAGAAACCCTCTCTGGAGTTTGTTTGGCACAAATGGACATTTCAACTTAGGTGTGGCACATGATGGAATTGCTGCAGAGGGATTTCAACGAACACTGTTTGACGCAAGTGCCCAAAAATAGTAATTCCACCAGATAAAATCACGTCATTACTCATTAACTTCTAGAGTCTTTTAAACGTTAGAATCTACACGTTAACTCCTAGAATTGCATATCAAGATGTTACTTACTATCTCCTAGGCTTTTCTGAACCTTCCAAATACTAGAAGTTTCCATTAAAAATTTATACAATCAGATTTCCAGAACAAAAGCTAAAGTGATAAGTGTTTCGAAAAACTTGTCGGTTTTTATAAAATTAGCTGTTTTCTGTTTTTCAATTAAAATAAATCAGCTCATTCAGGATTCTGATTAATAGTAGTAGTTTTCATGGCATTTTTCAACTTTTTAGAGTTTTTTTTGCAATTTGATTCAACTCATCAAAAAACTTTATTCTACAAACCTCACTTAAATTTAAAAAATCAACCAAATCAGGGAGACAGTTTGTTCTCTTTTTTAAGCAAAATGACTGAATTAATGAAAACCTTTTGACTAAATTCAGATAAATTCTACATTTTTTAGAGAATGTAACCAAAACCTTTTTTTATCTGGTAATAAGACACAGCTGAATTGAAAATATTTAATTTTACTTGAAAAACCCCTTCAGTTCACTTCTTTCACCATCATGAAAAAATTTCTTTGAAGAAACTGAAATCTATCCCAAAATATGATCATTCCTGATAGAACGGGCAAGTTACTGCATCCAAGTTGAAATTGGTACCGAATCTGCCAAACTCTCAAATTTAAAAACATCTCCCAGTCTAGTGACCAAATTATCATAGATCTTTCAGAATGGAGAGATTTTGAGAGCAAAAGAATCAAAGAGTTTACAATCAAACTTCTAAGACACTACAAAAAAAATGCGGGATTTCATATGATTCAATGAAATACCACAAATACAACTGACAAAACACCTGCTGCAAAGAAAAGGGAAGACTTTAACCAGAAAAGGCTCTACTCAAAAAAAAAACACCAACACTTATTTTCCAACTGGCCGTACTCTCGAATGAAGGATGTCCTGATCATGCACCAGAGCCGGTTTAACCCACCGAACTATATCACTGTTGTAACACCAACCCAATTTTTTTGTTGAGAGTGACTCTTGGGTGAGCAACTCTTAAAAAAGGAACTGACTGAAAAACTTCTGTGAAAATAACAAAGAAACTTTTAACTAAAACTGAAATAACAGAGTGCAGAGATAAGCTACTGAGCATAGGCTACTGTATATTTCACTGAACATTTTACACAAACAACAGAAGGAAGATACAGTCAGCGTTTTTCCGTTAATGGAAAGGCAAATTTATTGGTTTTGCTTGCCCCAGCCACAAACCTCATTGGATATGAAGAAAAGAGCATACATCGCAACAAAGGAATCCCTTCAAACATAGCAATGGTCAACTCGATGTCAAAACTCAAACGTACGTATCTTTGTCAAATGACGCTTTGCTCTGGCAAAACAACCTTATAACTCGCTACTCGATCATTTACGAACTAATAGTGAGAATGCACGACGTATCGCTCTGTTTCACGAAATTGATACCCTACAAGACACCACCCCGCACTCGAATACGATCTCTCAGGATTCACAACAACCCTCAAACGTCATCACATGTACTTCGCAGACTCAATCAATCTACAGTATCAAAAAGAATTTAGAAAAAACTACATGAAATAATTAACAACAGTTGTGCAAGTTATAAAACGATTTTTTATATGTGTACTATTCATTTTTTAGTAGTCTTCATTTCAAAAAATTTCCTTCTAAAAAAAAACTCCGCATGATCGAGATTGGAATAAGACTTCCAGAGGTTGCTTTTGAAACATTCATCGAATTTGAGCTATTATCTCAAATTTTCATCAAAATTAGAGTATTCGACTAATTACTCAAAAATCAACAATTTGTCATAGATTACATACAAAAAAAATCAGTCGATTTGATGAAAAAACCTGCAGAGATGCTGCTTGTTGTATTTTTTTCCTCTTTTGTTACTTATATCGACGATATTTCACATCAATTAACTTTTGGTCCTTCATTTTTGTAATTTCCTTTGTGTATATTTTTAGTTATTTGGAATATTTAGGTCCTTAAGGTAATTGTTTCTCTGATTGGATACGACAACCAGAACAAAATTCGACATTTTTTGTGATTGGATACGACAA